TTTTGGAAGAATTTCTACTAAAATATTATGAGTTCAAACTAAATAATTGAAATTTGAACAAAACGGTAAATGTTGCGTTGTGTCACAATGAATATGACGTCGGAGTCTTTAATTTATGTAAAAATCAACCAAGATTGTTCTGCGAGTATATGATTCAAGAAGTCGTAGAAGATGATCTTAATGATAAAGGCATGGAAATTAAACTTGAGGAACAATTAATTATGAAAAAGTGGTTGAGGAGAAGAAGGAGAGAAAATGGAAGATGTTACTGTAACGAATAAAACAAGAGAGAAAAGAAATGAAGAATTTTTTGTGAAAAGACTTATTTTGATATTGTTTGCTTATTGTAAATGAATTGTGTTGTTATTCTACTTTAGGTTTTTATTTTTTTTCTATAATAAATAAAAAATATGAAAATAACATAATAAATAAATTTTTGAATGTTTTTTCTAAATTATTTTTCAAACATTTTTTAAAATAATGTTATTCTTTTATTTTTAGAATTATTTTACTCAGTCACCCCATTTTTGTTCAAGTTGCACTGGTTTTTATCATAACTGTACAGTGGTGGTATAAACCCACTTAATTTTGAATAAACCTACTTAAGTGAGTAAATTTTGTGAAACTTTGGTTGAACTTTAAGCCAAAATAGAAAAAAAATAAGTACCACCATTTATAAATAGGAAAATGGGTTTGATTGGTTTTTTTTTGTTTTTCGAGAAAAAAGTCAAATTTGCTCGAGATGAAAAAAAATATTTGAAATGGTTTTTTATTTTAATTAAAATAAACTTAAAATATAGCTTTTGTTTTTTACATCATTCGTTTTGAAAAGTATTTTCTTTTGACAAAAAGAAGCTCAAAAAAGGTTCGAAAAGTGATAAAAGAACAATGACGAGCACAATAAACAAGCTTGAAAATAAAAGCCGGATTGAATTTGTGGTCTTTTTTGTGCACATTATTTCAATGATTGTTTTTGAACAAATAACATTAAAAAATATTTCATAAAAGTTGTTGTTAAGATTCAAAAGAAGGTGATAGAAAAATAATAAACATAAACGAATGAATTGAAAAAGATGAAAATTTAAACAATAACAATGACAAATAAATAACATTTAAGGAACAATTGGTAAAAAAACGGGATAATACGAAGAATCGAATTTTTTGGATTGAAATCGAATTTATTATTTTTTAGTTTAATAAACTTCAAAGTCGGTATTTTTGAATTAAACTTTTGAGCTTTTGTTGAAAACTGTTTTAAAAAAACATTTGGACCAAAAAAATGAGTTACATTTTGTGTAAATCGTAAAATGTGGTTTTTACACAAAATGTAAAAATCGTACACTTTTTGGTCAAATACCAAATGAATTCTGGATTCGACAAGTTTTCCACTCAAAGCATTAAAAAAACAATGTTTAAACTTGAAAAGGACTCAAAAATCATAAAGTCTTCACCAGAACAAGTTAATATAGACACTGGCACAAGTTTTGCTTGTGTCATGAAAAAAAATTTAATTGATTGTTTTTTCTTTTTTGTTTTTTTTTGTTATTAAAATGTTATTCTTAATAAAAAATAATTTGCTATTATTAAAATATTTTTGTCTTATAACATAATTTCAGTTTTTTTAATTTTTTGTTATTTACAAAAATAAAACGAAAATTTACTCATTTAAGTGGGTTTATTCCAAATTAAGTACTTAAATATTGCCACTGTTATATGTTTAAATACACGTTTTTACCTTTTTTCTGTTATAAATAAAATTATTTTTGTCAAAATAAACGATATTACAAGCAACCACTTTTAGAAAACATTAATTTTCATGAAAAAAAAATAAATTTTAAAGCGTCCTGATTGAGTTAATACTTCTTATAATATTTTTTTTGTAAAAATAAACACCATGAATCATTTCTCAAAAAAACATTAAAAGCATTATAGTATAGTCAAAGGAAAAAGTGGGATGCTAAGAAAAAGGAAAATTCTTATCTTAATATAAATTTGTTTTAATGTTTAACATTTTATTAATTATTTAAATAATTATTAATATTAAAATTTATAGTAATTATATAAAAGTAACTAAACTGGGATGCGGGTTATAAATTAAAACTAAACATAAACTATATTTTATTTATAAATTTTAACAAACTAATAAATGAAGTTGAAACTCA